TTATGGAGACTTCCGGTTCTATTTAGTTTGTGCACTGACGATTTGCCCGGCACAGATTTTGAGAGACTCCCAAACGCTTTAGAGATGACGTTTTGTCAAGGGAAAGGTATGCAATGAACTGAGAGCGACAAACTAATCATACACAATGAACATATGGGGTACCTGTAAAGTGCGAAACGAAATAGAAACGAAACGAAACGAAACGAAATATGCCGAAACGAAACGAAATCTCCGAAACGAAACAAAACCTACCGAAACGAAACGAAATCAAGACGAAACGAAACGAGATCAAAACGAAACCTGCCGAAACGAAACGAAACTATCAAATTTTTTTTTTTTTCAAATCAAGGTACATGTATATAACTATATATGTGTAACTGCATGTGGACTTTTTTTTTACTTCAAACAGAATTTATATATTCATGCACTTCATAAGAGAAAATTTAATTACCGGTATTTTATGCTCCCTTCTCAGTCTAATGATGTATTTATATGTTTGCCAGCCGCAAATATGCACGAGCATACTATGCATGTACAATTTCAATATGTGAGTATTTTATAATTTTTACATCTTACTCTTATTTTCAGTCCTTATTTATCTAGATACAACATATCTATCCAAATTGATGTGTTACATGTACGTAAAGTCTCGTTTATGAACGGTTCGAAATAAAGTCACTAAATACTGTTGTATTGCGAATGTCTTAAAACATAGGATAAACCAGAGACTTAGAGTATTTAGTATTCCATTCCGAGGTGTCTGGTTTTATTGTTCAATTATACATCTAACACCAACCGGAATCTTGTGTATCATTTCTACGTACATAAGGTCCTATTTTTATCGAGGTAATTTTCGAGGAAGAATTTGCAATAAAGAGGCTCGACCAGAGACGTCTAAAACGATTTAACTGACAAGAAGAAAGTCTCTCGAAGCGAACAATGTCATTTTTAAGTAGGTAAATTATTCAGTAAGATATTAAAAAAAATATGACATAGGCGTCGGAAGCGGGGAGGGGGGGGTAGCCCTCCCCCCCCCCCCACTTTTTTGCAAAGATGTATATTATATTGGCATTGAAAATTGGGGTTTACCTTTTTTGTTGATTAAGCCCCCCCCCCCCCCCCCCCCCCACCACTTTCAATTTCCTTCGGACGTCTATGTATGTTGAAGCGAAACAATTGCCTGTGGTGCTTGAACTATATAAATTTCATATGAAGTAAAATTAGACCATATAAACATTCTGAAAGTTTCGTTTCGGCAGGTTTCGTTTTGATTCCGTTTCGTTTCGTCTTGATTTCGTTTCGTTTCGGTAGGTTTCGTTTCGTTTCTGTAGATTTCGTTTCGTTTCAGTTCGTTTCGTTTCGTTTCTATTTCGTTTCGCACTTTACAGGTACCCGAACATATGGCATGATAATGAAGTAACCTATAAAAAGATGTATGCCTTTTTAAATAAAAGGACAACAGGGTTTAGACACAGGCACCTGAAGTGTGGATAATACCCCCCTCTTTTTTAATGAAAAAAATGTAAGAGTGTATAATATCTCAAATTTACAAAATTTCCCCGTCAAACACATCTATATCTCGTTCTATGCAAGCATAATTTACTTTTTCTTACGTTTAAAGAATGGCCCTATTCGGTTTAATAAAAATACACAAGGTAAGAAACAAAATTTGTAAGCAAACGGGGGGTTCCCCGCTTCGAGACAGAGTTTCAAGGTAATACATTGTTACCCATCATACTTTTGCAAGCATTCTGTCAAGGAGATGTTCTTCTACTGAGCTATTTAACCTAAACCCCGCCATTAATGTTTAATATGCCGTAATCGGACGATTTATTAATCGGACCCGTAAAATTTTCTCCATTGGCAGCTTTGGATCAGGTTTTGGAGTCGCAATTCTGTTTCGCCTTATCTGATTGGTTATATATTTAAACTGCATTACAACTAGTGCTAATTGTAACGGGGACCGTTACAGATGTTCCCCAAACGCTCCCCAACTCCCTTTTGGTGCCATATTCCCTGTAAGCTTCATTAAACAACCTCTATGCATCTGAGATTTTAACAACATTAACAAAGAAGTGTACAAAAATCATTTAAACTTTAGCATTGCACGCGTGCACATGTGAATGCATTTGCGTCATGACCATATCATCTTGTCTACACAATCTATATTTTTAATATACTGAATATTAAAGTATTTAATCCAAAATTATTTAAAAAATACGCTCATTCAAGTGTATGTTTGATTTTACTCATTTCACGTGCACGCACGTGGATACATGAGCATGGTGACCATACCTTCTTGTAGAAGTCCATTACATCTATCTATGTTCTAAATTCCACCCCGTTTGCGTGAAAACTAAGGGAGTTATAGCTGTTTAAAGTTTCAGCCAATCAGATTGCAGCACATGTACACGCACGTGTATGCATGTGCATGGTGACCATACCTACTTGTAGAAGTCCATTATATCTATCTATGTTCCAAATCCAATCCTGTTTGGTTGAAAACCAAGGGAGTTATAGCTGTTTAAAGTTTCAGCCAATCAGATTGCAGCGCACGTGCATTCACGTGTTTTCATGATAATTGCTTTATTTCATGTTGTAGGATATCCTAATGCATGGCTATGTTCAAAATTTCAAAGGATTTCGTCAAAAAACAAGAAAGATATTGAGACTTTAGTTGCAGCCAATCAGAGCGAAGTGCACGTGCATGCGCGTGAGATCTTGCTATTTTCACCATGTCGTCATGTCTATACTACTAATATATCCTCACATTATGAGTTTCAAAGCATTTCATTTAAAAATAGAACAGTTGTGGCTATATCTATTATATTGGTCATTTCACGTGTTGCACGTGCACGCTCTTGCAAGCACGTGCGCGCAAAATGACCTTGATTCCGCAAATCTACATAACATGTCTACTAACCCTAAAAAGGTTTTACCTACATCGGACGAACAGTTTACAAGATCATTCCCGGACAAAAAAGTTCCAGGAAGAAGAAGAAAAATAATAATAATAATAATAATAATAATAATAATAAGAAACAGAGTAAAAACAATATGTTCCCCAACTTCGTTTGGGGAACATAATTAACCACCCTTACAGTTTTTTCATTAAAAAAAGAGGGGGGGGGGGGTCGTTATTATCCACACTTCAGGTGCCTGTGGGTTTAGAGGTTTATGTTGAATAATAACAGGTGCTGGTATGGCTAGACACTTTAAGGTTATTTTATACTTTCATACTAATCAACCAATTGCCACATCGTTTACAGAGTCTGTGGTTGAAAGTTGAAAGTCTGCACACTTTGTGATACATTTAATTTATTTTATTGTGTATGTACAAATATTTATGAATATTGTGCGTTTCTAGTTTTGCTCAATCATATCTGTCCAGTTCATTGACAAATAGTAAAAAGACTTGCCTAAGATTTTGAGTCCCGATCGAAAGGAAAGATAACTCTAAAAAGAAACTTGAAACCACAACTTTTGATAATACTTTTTCCACATCAGTGTATTTGATATTAATTCAATTTTTTATTGTAATTTAATTCAATAATGTTTCTTCTATACAACAGGAGTCTTTCTCTTTTTTTTCTAGATGTACTTTAGAGAAGATGGGTTTTATTTACTTTGAATAAATTAAATTCTCAAAAAATGAACGTTAGAGAAGATGGGTTTTATTTATTTTTAATAAATTAAATTCTCAAAAAATATATTGACCAATAAAAATAAGTTTTTGTAGCCATTTTGTGAGACTAATGATATACCGTAGGAAAATACAGCAGTTGTTATGTTACCTATAAAAACTAATTGGAAAAAAGTCTTGAAACTTCTGAAATTATTTTTAAATAATTCTTACATTCATTCCGGGGTACTTGAGACCATGGTAACTATGGAAACTTATTCAACTTTTCTGCGCATGCGTACAATATGGAGGAAGCTGTATTTAGCAATATTTTCGTTATGGGGCATACTAAAATTACTTTTACTTTTGTTTTCTCGATAAAAATAGAATTTTAGGTTCTGAAATCTAAATAAATACGTTTAGGAGTTGAACAAAATTCACAGGGATCATGCAAAAATTCTACATTTGTCAATTTTCCCATTTGTGCGTTACGGTGTCTCTTTAATTCCTGGACGATTCTTTTAAGGGTTAATATTCTTGTAAAAAAGTAATGCTCAGAAATAAAGGAAAATAAGTTTGATGTGTTTGGAAGATCCTTAATATCCAAGAGCTGGGGAGAAGATTTTCAAACAACTAATGTATTTTCACTATGGACTATTAATCATTAGACTCCCGCCTTAACACCAGAACCCCTGACTTTGAGGCCATGAAATTCATAACTTTGGAGGAGACGACCTTCCTAATCATAGCTATGCATTTAGTTTGTTTTCATAATACCCAGGAACCGAAGAAAAGATTTTCAATGAATTATTGCATTTTCCCTACTTGTTGCACTAATTTAGTAGATTTTTGCTTCACCAGGGTCCCAGGAGATTAGGGAACATGAAAATTGCAATTTTCACTTCAATCCCCTTCACCAATAGAGGCAATATTTAAAAAAAAACTGGTAGTAATAAGTTCTGTGGTTCAAAGAAGGAGCTATAAATGTTAATTAAATGTTAAAACACAACGGACAACGCAGAACAGACTTTGCACGACACATGACGAAGGACGATAACAGAAATCAAAAGGTCACCTGAATTTACTGCGGTGATCTAATAAATTTTGAGAGATTACGACAGGGGGCGTCAACAGAAAAATGAACACTCTAAAACATGCATGAAACTTTGTTTAGAAAAAAAGTAACTTTTTTTATTGTTCATGTAAACCGTCATGAAAGATCTGAACTTGATTTAACCACTTTGGATTGGTATTTCTTTTTTTTCTCTTCATGTCAACTCATTGATTGACAATGACATATTTAATCCGAATACTGTAACAAGCGTGGGAAGATAGTACACAATGTATTTCTTAAATGCATATACATAGTATAACTTACAGAGCACATTGACATTCATGGACTGACTGTTTGATCCCGCGCCTCCAATGCTGTAACTGTTTTGTGCTGTACATGTGTAGGTACCAGCCATGTTTCTCTGTATTCTCTGTATCCGCAGTACAGCACCATTCTGTCTAAATCCAGAGTCACCTGTCTTAGTCCAGTAGACATTGGTTTGGGAAGGATTTCCATTGGTGACAGAACACGTGACAGATAGGTCATCTCCTTCTATAATGTCTTTATCTGTCAAACTGGACACAGACGGGGGATCTATAAAGTAAAGAATATTTTTTTTAATTTTTAGACTTGAACAAAATTTATCACTTGACAAAAAGCAAGTCCTGGTTTGTTTTTTTTTTAAACAAAAACCTGTGAACAAAACATGACCGGGACTCCGGTATATCCAGAGGTGGATTAAGGTGCCTTGGAAGAGTTAGCATCTCGTGGTGATTAGTTACATCCGAAATACAACGTATACATAAAGTTCATAGAAAACAAAAACATATGTCCTACAATTCATGGCAGAGAATCTACCCACAAAAGATCAGAACAAATTTCTCCTACATTTTTTGATTGGTCTGATTTTAATATAACTTGGCACACAAGCTGACTACACTAATTAAGATACAAAATTCTTTTCATAGGTTTGCAATTGCATGCACAAAAGTACACGTTACAAAAATCAAGGCAAAGGGAAAATAAAGGAAAATGTAATAAACAGAAAATTCAATGTTTTGTATTTGAATACTGTAGACGTCTTTAATTTCACGTGTCTAAAATTTCACGGTTTGTTAGAAAGTAACCTTTCACGGTGGTTTTAATTTCACGGAGAATCGTTTGTAAATAGTCAGGTACTATGACTGTTTCTAGATAGAAATGACGTGAAATAATTATCGCGATGGCTTAAAGTTCGCGTAAAATTCTTAAATCGTGAACATAGTGAAATTAAAAACACCGTAATGTTTTCCACTTCTACAGTATGGAATTTATTTCACTCGTGAGACAGGTTTTTTTTTTATATTTTCACTTGTGCTTCGCACGCATAAAAATATTAAAAAAATCATGTCACACTCGTGAAATAAATTCCATATTCAAATACAAATCATTGAATATTCTCTATTTATTTTACACACTTACAGAACACATTGATGGTCATAGACTGACTGTTTGACCCTGTGCCTCCAATGCTGTAACTGTTTTGTGCTGTACACGTGTAGGTACCAGCACTGCTTCTCTGTATTCTCTGTATCCGTAGTACAGCACCATTCTGTCTAAATCCAGAGTCACCTGTCTTGGTCCAGTAGACAGTGGTTTGAGTAGGATTTCCATTGGTGACAGAACACGTGACAGATAGGTCATCTCCTTCTATAACGTCTTTATCTGTCAAACTGAACACAGTTGGAGGATCTTTAATTGAAAGATATATGAAACATTTTTACAAATTCTTTTCAAATCAAGATGCACAATTGTTTTACCAATCACTTGAGTATAATAAAACACTTTAAAAGATTCACTGGAGATTAACAAATAAAAATCAGAAACAAAGATCTGGGCCCGGGATCATGAAGCATCTTAAGCTTAAGTCAGAAAATGCCTTAGATGCTGATATTTTTTAGAGGCCAAGCAGCCCAAAATGAAAATGCTTTCCGATTTTGTATCATCAGCCTGCTGTTGCATGCAAATTATGAGTTTCCTTCAAGAAGGTTTAAAGATTTTATAGATAATTGAAATTTTGACTTAAGTCTAAGTTTGTTTCATGATCCCGGGGCCTGGTATCCAAAAGCAATAGAGATAAAATGTTCAAAATTCAGCAAAGTAGTTAATTTAGTTCTCAGCAATATTGCAAGTTTTTTTTAAAAAGTCTAACGGATCTGCATAAGAAATTATTTAGACGATACACCAATTTTCAAGATTTCTTTTAAAATTATTTCCTATTCCAAGAAAGTATGAGTTCATATCAGCTTAAACAAATGCTAGAATCGGACAAAGTCACATAGTCATTTGGAACAGGATTTAAATAAGGTAGAATGTATACTAAGATAGAACACAACTCTACTTTTCAAATGCATACAATTGGTAAATAATAACTTACACAACACATTGACAGTCATAGACTGACTGTTTGATCCCGTGCCTCCAATGCTGTAACTGTTTTGTGCTGTACACGTGTAGGTACCAGCACTGCTTCTCTGTATTCTCTGTATCCGTAGTTCAGCACCATTCTGTCTAAATCCAGAGTCACCTGTCTTGGTCCAGTAGACAGTGGTTTTGGAAGGATTTCCATTGGTGACAGAACACGTGACAGATAGGTCATCTCCTTCTATAATGTCTTTATCTGTCAAACTGAACACAGTCGGAGGATCTATAATGGAAATTGTGGATAAAATTTCAAAAGTTTATATTGAATATAATGCATCTTTTATCATCGATAAGGAAGGCTTGTTTTGCAAGTTGCAATTTTCTTTTAGAGAAGATACTATAGTATAACATATGTTTTCCTAATACTCATTAGGTTAAATGGATTTCAAGTCTGATTTCAAATACATGTATATCCAACAAAATCATAATGAAATAGCTGAAGTTAAGTTAGATATCAAAGGCATCCAAAGATGCAAAATGGCTCACTTAACTCGAATTAATAATGAGATAATATGCTTTAATAATACACTTACAGAACACGTTGATGGTCATAGACTGACTGTTTGATCCCGTGCCTCCAGTGCTGTAACTGTTTTGTGCTGTACACGTGTAGGTACCAGCACTGCCTCTCTGTATTCTCTGTATCCGTAGTTCAGCACCATTCTGTCTAAATCCAGAGTCATCTGTCTTGGTCCAGTAGACATTGGTTTGGGAAGGATTTCCATTGGTGACAGAACATGTGACAGATAGGTCACCTCCTTCTATAATGTCTTTATTTGTCAAACTGGACACAGTCGGAGGATCTATAACCAATAATCAAAAATAGTTAAAATTTATTTCGTCTGATCATTATACATGTATCAATATTATGGGTAAAATAAACTCTTTGAAATGAATCATAATGCAACAAAGTTCATTTAGTTTCTTTTATTTCATTTATACTAAATGATTCAAATGATGATTTCTTAATTTTATCTTCTTTGGTCATTGCTGAGATCAAGAAAAATGTCACAGCCATTTTTCTCTATTAAATCAAACATAAGATCATCAAAAGTCCCAAGGGCCTTAACAGTCACCTGGGTTTAATACAATAATGTAAAGGATCTATAGATATATAGAACAAAATTAACTGATAAATGAATCTATGTTGCAAAAGAATTTCAAAAATCTTGCCATCAAAATATGGCTAAAATATTGCCAACTCGGCGTCAAACAGTAATCAATTAATCAATCGAAAATCTGGTATAAATACTCTTTGCTTATTGTAAGGTTCAAAACCCAATTGATCTCTTTTTGATCACACTTGATTTGATCAAGTCTTACAAAGATGAAAAATGAATGCAAAATACAGTTAATACACTTATTGTTCATAGAACAATTAGAGGTCTTTCCACTTTTTTAAAAGAACTATATTCGGTATATTGCATATCTTTGCCCCCACAAAAATTAAATTTTGAAAAATTCTTAAAATGTGTTGTATTGTATAAATTGTATGAAAAATATAGATTAACAAAACATATTATAGTTTCAAAGAAGGTTATTGACAATTTTTTTTATTTATGACGTCACAAACTCGTCGGATTTTGCATTATTTTTCAGAAAGAGGACAAAATGGACAAAATTTCAACAATTTTATTGAAAGAATTTATAGAGCGCATGTCTGTTCAGGAACAATATTTGCATTTTTAATTGATATTATTATTCCACACATTATATCAAAATATTAAGCCTGAACACATCTGCGCTCGGTAAATTTTACTCAAAATATTGACGCAATTTTTACATTTTTCTATAGAAATCATGGAGATTTTAGATTTACGTAATTTTCCTGACGTGATTTCAAATATATGACGTCATTGCTGACGAAAACATTCAGTGCTTTGAAGTCAGCATGAATTCCCCTGTTTTAAAACATATTTTAATTTTACTCCGTCAAAGTTTGATTTTGGGGGCAAATATTTGTTACTACCGAATAAAGTTCTTTATTTCATTTCCACTATTTTACTTTCTAAAATTAATTTTAAAGCAAAAATAATTCAAAAATGACTTAGAAAATAGAAAAACCTATTGCTGAGCTTGTTGCAAAGCATTAAGTATGTCTTCCGTCTAATTTTCAGAAGCACTGCTTGTAAAATAGGTAAATATAATATTTATTGAAGAATGAAACCTGCAAACCAAAAATTATGTCTATCTGTATTTAGAACTAAAATTATTGAAATCAATGTTGATTTTTGTAAACCAAGCAATTTGATACAACTTCCGGTTTGATATGAACTTATTCTAATCTGCAGAAAATAAGGCCGGAAGACTCCTATGAAGTAACTTATATGATTTGTTACTTAATATTTGCGAAAATGAATCATATATGGTTACTTCTGGTTAAACCGGAAGTTGTTGAAATTGACATTAAGCTACAAAAATAAGGTTGGACATACTCTGTGACATGTGTTACTCAATTCAATACCACAATCTGTGAAAATAAGCATTTTTGGACTACTTGGTGTTTGGCCGGAATTGACGTCAACGGACGTATTTTGACGACCCCACTAGTCGTTTTGAACAACCTTGCTTCTTTGATATGTTACAAATTCTCAAAACTTTATGAGATATCAGGAAAAATTTTTTGCCCCACCAACTCCAGTATTTTAGGGGCCAACCCTTTTTCCTGGATATCAATTAAACGATCTTGGAATTCTACACTCCTTTTGTTTTATATGTTTTTCTCAAAATTTTATAGGTAAAAAAAATATTTTTGAAAAGATGTTAGAAAATTGGAATTCGCGATAGGACTATTTACGAACTGTAGTGAGCGTCGGTACTTCGTACTTTCGGCGGCAATTATATACAAAATTCACTTCTCCAAATTCTAGCATCACTGAAAATTTTATACTTGTGTATACAGTGCTTTTTGAGAAAACTGCCGGACAAAGTGACCCTCTGAAAACACCAAATTGCAGAAAACTCCGAATGGGATGTGACGTCGTAGAATTAAATATACATAAATCTAGATTTTTTGATGTTATATATGATTTATAAATATTAAATTTTACGAAACTTTCACAGAATCATTATTACATATTACCATTGTGCAGCTCCAATTTCACTTCCTGATCCACCATTATATTCATATGGGTGGCGGGGTATTATTTAGTGAGCAACTTGCTCACAATACCTCTAGTTTGAAAATAAAATGAGTAATGACGTCTCAAATGATACTTTGAATAAATTCTCCCAATCTATGTTGATTATTGCAAAAGCAAGCTTTTTGGCTACTTTAGGTCCAACCGGAAGTGCTGTCAATGTACGGAAAAATACTTTTTTTGCTTCCAGAGACAGATATTACCCAAGAACGCGTCAATAATGGCAAAAATATGCATATTCTAATTACATCCGGTTTGGCCGGAAGTAACGTCAATGAACGTATTTTGATTATCTCTTTAGATACTACTTGACATTTAAAACAACTTTGCTTGTATAATAGCAATGTGAGCCGCATTTTTGAAAATTTTATTTTGCTTTTAACATATGTTACTGTGGTTTCATCAATATTCGTTGAGCACCAATTTTCGTGGATTTCATTGTTGAGCAGATCAACGAATTCAAATGTTCATCGAATTACGAAATATGACACTTGTATATGAAATGCTTTTCCACGAAATTACGTATCCTCGAAACTGGCTGTTTTACAAAATCCACGAAAATTGATGCTAACGAAAATTGATGAAACCACAGTATTATGATAAATTTTATGCAACCTAAGCTTTTATGATCAATTGGAATAAAACAAATCAGACGAAAGACTTATATACATATGCATGTACAATCCAATATACGGTATTATACAAGAAATCATCATTGTACAGGACGACAATAAAGTAGTTTTGATTCAATTGAAGCTTATAAATTGTTCTTCCCCATGGGGATCCGGGTTAGAATAGGTCCTCAGTACCCCTTTGCTTGTTGTAAAAGGCGACTAAATGGGGCGGTCCTTCGGATGAGACCGTATAAACCGAGGCCCCGTGTCACAGCAGGTGTCCCACGATAAAGATCCCTCCCTGCTCAAAGCCCGTAAGTACCGAACATAGGCCTAAATTTGCATCCCTTCACCGGCAATGGTGACGTCTCCATATCAGTGAAATATTCTGGAGAGGGACGCCGAACAGTATACAATCAATCATTCAATCCATCGCAAATATAAACTACAGAAGTTTATTAAAGTTTTTTTTCTGTCATTGGAATAGTAATTTACAATTTTGCAACAGAAAAATTCTGACATCAAAGTTGCAGCTCATATTGCTTTAATATATAACAAATTCTCAAGACTTTAAAAGATATCACTTTTAGTCCCATTTCTAGAAAAAAAAAACTTCTAGCCCAACTAGATCACTTATTTTAGGGATCAATCCTTCTTTTTAGATACAATTTGAAAGACCTCAGAATTCTGTACTTCTTTTTATTCTATATGTTTTAACAAAATATTTCCAGGTAAAAAAGTATCTTCGAAAAAGTGTAAGAAATTTTAAAATTCGCGATAGGTCTATTTTCGGACCACAGCGAGCGTCGGCGCTTCGTACTTCCGATGGTAACAAAATTCGCTTCTCCAAAGATTGATCTAGCATTATGGAAAATTTCATACTTCTATGTTCAGTGCTTTTGGGAAAACTTGAGACAAAGTGACCCTCTAGCCTGGTTCCCTATCTCTATTTTGCTTCGTATACTCTGCGTTTCCTGCTTTGTCAAGGATTATCCATGGGACCAGGCTAAGTGACACTCTTAAATTCATTAAATTGCGGAAACCCTACGAACTGGAAGTGACGTCATCAAAATAAATATATATCTTAATCATTTTTATGTTCTATCAGACCTGAAAGTTTCAAAAGTTTCAATAATATCAATTAAGTCGTTCTCTAGAATTGGCATGGCAAAATCGGTCAGAAAAAAACAATAATAATAAAAATAGTCGAAAAGAAATCTAAGAATAACAAGGTCTTCCGCTGAAGACGAAAGAACTTCTTGATCCAACAGTTTAGAATTACAAACTCACATTCTACATCGATGGTCATGGACTGCTTGCTCTGTCCTTTGTTTCCTGATGAGTATTGATTTTGTGCTGTGCATGTATAGGTACCAGAACTACTGCGTTGTATTTTTGTCAGACTAAGTACATCCCCTTCCTGTCTGAACGAGCTGTCCTGTCGTGTCCAGTACACATTAGTCTCTGGTGGCTTTCCTACATTATAGAGGCATTTTTTGTTGAAGTCTGTTCCCTCTATGGCGGTTGAATTATTCAAAGCGTAAACAGTTGGAGGACCTGATAAGAAAAATATTCAAATTAAAGAGGAAGAAGAAAAACTGAGACTAAATTTAACCAATAAACAGATGCTATCAGGTCTTCTTATTGTTTACGTTTATTGCTCATAGACTCCGACATTAAAATGTCTCTGCATCCTTTGTTTCCAAGCAAATTAATCAATGACAGATGATTGACTTTTAGGTCAGATCACCTTTATGGGTCACTTGTGACATTTTTTTATAAGTATTAATCAGAATGTAGTAGTATCCTTTGGATGAGACCTTAAAAACGGAGGACCTTTGTCACAGCAGGCGTTAGCAAGACGAAGATACTTTACTGCTCAATTACCCTGAGTGCCGAGCAAAGGTCTAAATTGGAAGTGCTTTGCTGGTGTATGGTGAAGTCTCTGATAAATGATAAGTGAAAGACTCTCGAACGGGACGTGAAACAAGAGACAGCCAATTAATAAATCAATCAACAAAACGTTTTAATCTTTACTTACAGGAACCTGCCACTTCTGAAAAAATTGATCATTCTTCATTATACCACGCTAACAGCTTTCCAAAGAATATTATATATTCAAATAGGTGAAAAAGTCTAAAAGGAAATTTTACTGTCAAGGTAGATATCTGTCTTAAAACGATAGTAATTTTAAGTTCGTTATAGTAAAATTTATTGCTAAAAGCCGCTAAGTCCGATTCTAATCGCGAAAAAAATATAGTCATTTCTTTTGGGAAAAATAATTGTCCATAAATTGTTTCAACTTTTGTCGAATTATATCCCCAAAGTCTTTTTCTTTTAAAACATGACAAAAGTTAAAAATAATAATTTTTGTTAAGTCACACAAAAAATAATCCTATGACGATATCGCTATTTGCGTGAAATCACTTTTGAAAAATTAAATTTATCGGGAGCTTATAGCTCATTATGAAGAACAAACCAGAACAATTTTTTTCACAACAAAGACTTACACCTGTACAAGAAAAACTTCTTTTAAACAAGAGGCCCAGGGGCCACAGCGCTCACCTGAGCACATCAGGGCTTGAATTTATCCCCCCCCCTCCAGGCGTTCAGCATTTGAACAAATTAGAATCTACACTACCTGAGGATGATTCCATATAAAAACATGTATCACTAATCATAGCTTTGAAGAACTTGAAAAGAAGATTTTTAAAGGTTTCCCTATATATTCCTATGTAAAACTTGGGTCGGCCATTTTGGCCCCACCCTAGCCCCGGGGGTCATGATTTGAACAAACTTGAATCTACACTACCTGAGGATGATTCCACATGAGTTTCATCTTTCCTGGCCCAGTGGTTCTCGAGAAGAAGATTTTTAAAGATTTTTCCTATATATTCCTATGTAAAACAAGGGTCGGCCATATTGGCCCCACCCTTGCCTCAGGGGTCATGATTTGAACAAACTTGAATCTACACTACCTGAGGATGATTCCACATGAGTTTCATCTTTCCTGGCCCAGTGGTTCTCGAGAAGAAGATTTTTAAAGATTGTTCCTATATATTCCTATGTAAAACTTGGGTCGGCCATTTTGGCCTCACCCTAGCCCCGGGAGTCATGATTTGAACAAACCTGAATCTACACTACCTGAGGATGATTCCACATGAATTTCATCTTTCCTGGCCCAGTGGTTCTGGAGAAGATTATTTTTAAAGATTTTTCCTATATATTCCTATGTAAAACTTGGGTCGGCCATTTTGGCCCCACCCTAGCCCCGGGGGTCATGATTTGAACAAACTTGAATCTGCACTACCTGAGGATGATTCCACATGAGTTTCATCTTTCCTGACCCAGTGGTTCTCGAGAAGAAGATTTTAAAAGATTTTTCCTATATATTGCTATGTAAAACTTGGGTCGACCATTTTGGCCCCACCCTAGCCCCGAGGGGTCATGATTTGAACAAACTTGAATCTACACTACCTGAGGATGATTCCACATGAGTTTCATCTTTCCTGGCCCAGTGGTTCTAGAGAAAAAGATTTTTAAAGATTTTCCCTATATATTCCTATGTAAATCTTGGGTCGGCCATTTTAGCCCCACCCTAGCCCCGGGGGTCATGATTTGAACAAACTTGAATCCACACTACCTGAGGATGATTCCACATGAGTTTCATCTTTCCTGGCCCAGTGGTACTGGGGAAGAAGATGTTTAAAGATTTTTCCTATATATTCCTATGTAAAACTTGGGTCGGCCATTTTGGCCCCACCCTTGCCCCGGGGGTCATGATTTGAACAAACTTGAATCCACACTACCTGAGGATGATTCCACATGAGTTTCATCTTTCCTGGCCCAGTGGTACTGGAGAAGAAGATGTTTAAAGATTTTTCCTATATATTCCTATGTAAAACTTGGGTCGGCCATTTTGGCCCCACCCTAGCCCCGGGGGTCATGATTTGAACAAACTTGAATTTACACTACCTGAAGATGCTTCCACATGAGTTTCATCTTTCCTGGCCCAGCGGTTCTGGAGAGGATGATTTTTTTAAAAAATGCCATTAATTTTTCACAAATTCATAATTATCTCCCTTTGGAAGTGGGCATGGCCCTTCGTTTGAACAAACTTGATTCCCCTTTACCCAAGGATACTTTGTACCAAGTTTGGTTGAAATTGGCCCAGTGGTTCTTGAGAAGAAGATGAAAATGTGAAAAGTTTACGACGACAACGACAACAACAACAACGACAACGACGACAGACAACGGAGAAATTTTTATCAGAAAAGCTCACTTGAGCCTTCGGCAGGTGAGCTAAAAATCTTTAAAAATGGCTGATTTTCCATTATTCTTTTAAATGTGCATATTAACAAAAAATATTGTGGATTATATTCAATTACTTTCTAAATTTTAAAAGATATATCATGACTAATGCTTCTACTAGTAATGAAAAAAAAAATACGCGTGTTTGTTCTTTTGAATTATATATAACCGATAAATTTATTTTTGCACAGGTGACTTCACGACAGATCTTAACTTCCCGTCAGGAACTACTGCTTGTCAATAAGGTGTCTGATCTATGTTTTCCTTGTAAGGATTGTTGTAATAAACTATTAAATCAATTTCATGATTTATTATACCCCCGCTTGAAAAGCGGGAGGGTATATAGTAATCGTTAATTCCGTCCTTCCGTCTGTCCGTCCGTCTGTTACGCTTTGGGGTACCCATCTCTTATCCGCAACTCCTCTCATACCACTGAATGAAATTTGATGAAACTTTCACAGAATCTTTATTATATATTGCCATTGTGCACCTCCTATTTTACTTTTTGATCTGATATATATTTTGGATTTTCCAGAGCAAAACATTGACACTGCCATTTTATTCATATGGGAGGCGGGGGGGGGTATCATTTAGTGATCTCATTGCTCACAGTACCTCTAGTTTTCATTTATTTTCTATGTAATGACGTACTTTTATTGTGTAAGATAATATGTACCTATTTCGGATTAAGCGGCATTAAAATGTTCTCCAATTGTCTTTAAAACCGACGGTGTCCGCATTACACAAAAGAAGTACTTATTATTTTGTCTGTGCATTTTCTCAAAAACGATTTAAGATTCAGTAATGAAAATTTCTGTGATAATCGATCTTGATCTGTACATTTGTCTCCTTTTCATCGGCATTACTTCCGTTTTCCACTCGACGTAGTTTAAAAAAATGTATTTTGATTTTTTCAATTTTTAAATGTTTATAGCATAGACATAAAGGGTGTTTCAAGTCATTTTATATCATTAGAAGTTGGTTCTTCTAAACTTGAAGTTGTCCAAAAATGCGTATTTTTATCCAAACTTTCAGAAAAGATTTGTACGCACTAATTATGGAGTTTTAATTCAGTCTTTTGAGCACTTCCTGTCATACCGAAGGTGAATGGAAAAAAGAACCGGAAACTACTTGAAATAAAAAAAATATCGAGTATCTAAACATATTTTGAATAATCAAAGCTCTTTTTAATCTTTACTTGTTTTTACTTCTTTTTTAAAGTAAAACTATATCACAGTCATTATCGTAAATCGGACGGAACACCAACTCGTTGCTTTACAACAAGCTTTGCTTTAGTTAATATTATTTTTACCTTTATTCTTAGCGTCAGATTATTTATGTGTATCCAAAATTATTTTTAAAAATTATTCGGTCGATAAAATAGATGTATGAAAAGGAAGAGGGATTATTTGTCTATTTTATTGAATTGAGAACAATCGCCGTTTCTGTGGGCACTACGAGTAAGCATGTCATAAAATGAGTCATAAAATAAAATAAAATTCAGCAATTTGGTTTTGAGCCGGTCAAATTACTGTTGTGTTCCTCTCCCTGGCGCATGCGCACGTCGTATGACTATTTTTTTCAATAGCTAAGGATAGAAAAATAAACCCTCTAATGAATTCCTTGCAAAGGAGAAATAAGGGTCTGACAGATGCGCGGGAGAGACATTGAAGATAATGAGAGTTTTTGATTTTCACTTTGGGGGGTGGGGGTGGGTATCGTCATATGAGTTACAATAACTCATTAATTATTAACAAAATCAAATGGGATTTTGATTATATCTTTTTAAAAGATGATTTTAAAAGTTAGATAGGAATACTGAAAAATATTAAAAGGAAAATAAATTTGATTCATCTCAAATTTTACCCCGCGTTTCTTTTTCCTTTCAGTATATTATAACAATCCAATTTATAAGAGAAATTTTTAAAGTGGTTAAAACGTGGATATAGTAAATGATACAAGTGAAGATAACAATCATTCCTGCCGTAAACCCTTTATATTGACCAGGTAGACGGAATAATTCGTTGTCAAATCATATGAAAAAAAAAACCCAAAGGCCTGACGATTGCTTTTAAACACGTCAACTAAAAGATTGTTGACAATCTTGTCTGTCTACAGTGTTGAAAGTTTCTTAATAACACTGACTAAAATAATTTCTAGATTTGTTATTTAACTACTCGTTTTTTTGGTTTTCATTCGATCTATAATTTCTGTCATCATTACTAGTTATATGACCATGCCCTGTGGTCTAT